TTTTTGCTACTGCTCAGCTATATATGTGTGTGTGTTCACCCCTTTTTTCTGCTGTCCTTCCGTGACGTTTTTCTTTCTCTCTCTTCTATTGCGCGCTCTAGTCAAAAAATTTAAAAAAGTTTTCTTGTTAGTGGTTTTCATAATAAATAACGAATAACATTCCAAGCACGCACTCATGCTTCTCTACCATCACAGAAATAAATTTTGCTTAAACCAGAGAGAAAAAAAAGAAGAGAGAAGCATCGACAAAGAAATCAAGCTGTGAACGAGATAAAAATGGTATCCCCCGAAAAAAAAAAAATGTAAACCAAAAATGAAAAGAAAGAAAGGAAGAGGAAAAAAACGCACAAAATACAAATCGGGACGCGTGTTCACCCTGTCTACTTTCAACTTAAATTTGGTGCAAAAGTTTGTGCTTTTTGCACATTTTTATCGTTTTGCTTTTGTGAATGTAGCAAAAGCAGCAGCGCTCGTTCGTTAAGTTTGTTTCATCGAATAGCAGCACACCAAATGAAACGACAACTTTTCTCACTCGCTCATTCCATTTCTCAAACTCCGCTTTTTTTCTCATCCAACCAGTCGTAGATAAAACAATTTTGGGAATTTTACTTGTAGGTTTTTTTTTCTTTCATTTTTTTTTGTATGTGTGCCGTACTTAAAACGACTGAAAGAAGACTCTGTGATCCTTCTGCATAAAACGTGTATCCATCTGACATAACATTCAACTTTTGAGCTTGGCTTTTCTATTCGTACGTTTTTCGTTCATTTATTTATCCGAGATATGCTCTCTCTCTCTCTCTCTCTCTCTCCGTGTGTATTCTGTTTCGAGGTTGATTAATTTAATCTTGGATTTTGCCGTCTGCTCTCATACATATATTTGAACGTTTGGTTTCTTTTTCTTGACTCGACTTCAAGATTTTCCAGCCGAAACGTGCACGCAAGAGAATCAGAGAGAAAGCGAGAAGGTTTCGGTTTTCATAAGTGCTCGATGCCTTTGCCATTTGTTGGTTATCATTTTCAAAGCCGTGTTATCGTGCACTGCAATAAAATACAAATGTTTCCTTCAGTTGTAATTGTTTCTCTTTTTCCCTTCATTTCATTTTAATGTTCTTACATTAACATATTCTCTTTTTTGTTGTTCGGTTCGGTTTCGTTCATCTTGAGCTTTTCCGCTACAGTTCATCTCGACGAGAAACAATTGGTGGGAGGGAGTTAGGCAGAGAGGGATAGAATAAAAAGAGAATGAAATCTACTTGCGAAGATATTTTATTTTTTGCAGAAACGGCAACAATGATAATAATTTGTTGTTGAATAAATAAAGTGATATGCGGGCTTGTGTATGTTGTCTGCTACAGTGTAGTCTTCAGCATTCAGTTATTTAAACATAACTGCAAATGTTTCTGCTGTATGTGTGTCGTTGCTGCTCTCTGGCGCTTCTTTTATACATTGAATGAACAAATATTTGTCTATCACTCAGTTTGCGGATTCGAAGACGAGCTCACGAATAGCGTCGGCCGCATATACATACATATGAAATACTTTAAATTTAACATACATATGAATGGTATACAAATACAGTACACACAATGAGACATACATACATTTTGCACAGACAACAATATTAATCCAAACTCACTTACAGAAGCCTCGCGCACATCATTCCAACTGAGTACCAAATTCTCTTTCTGCATTTTTATCTGCTGTGAAAGCACATAGTTTGAAATTCATTCCACTTGTGGTAATATTTGTTTATTAGGTTTTTCATTTGATTTGATTTTTTGCGTTTTATTTTCATTCGCGCATTCTTTTTTTCTTCTTTTTTGCAAGAGAATTATGCGTCAAAAGTATTTTTGTTTTCTTTTCTACATTTTTTATATGCTATATGCTATAACTAAATCAAACACACTCATAATATGATGTTGGCAATCATTTTAATAAAATTGAAAAAAACGTCGACGGAGCGAGAATGAAAGAAAAAAAACCATTTGGATTGAATTGAATCACATTCAAAGTAAAAGTTTTTTTTTCACTGTGACTCAAAAGGGTTATCAGCACAAATGAATGATTAACTTTAACATTCATTGATCTCTGGACTTTTTTCTTTGTGGTGTGTGACATAATCCATTTATTAGTATACGAAAATTGATGATATTCATGCACCCATGTCACGACAAAAAGTAAAAGCAAAAAAAATTGGAAGCTACATCCGACACAGGATAACATAAAAAAAAACCACAATACTGAAGAGTTTTTTTGGAACAGTTTTGCTGGCACACTGTTCATATGCGTGTTGAGTTTCAGGTAACGGAAATTGTTTCAGTGTGTGTTATAGTGGTTGGCAATAGTGCGGTACATACAAAAATAAGGATGAAACCGAACACACAAATAAAATTTGCACTGCAAAAGTTTTACATAACTCAATTTAATTAAAAGTCATTTAATTTGCCATTTGCATAATCCACTTTCGCATTTCATTGAACGGGATGTGGTGAATTGTGTGCAGTTATTTTTCTCATTCTCACTTGTTCTCTCTATCTCTCAACCAAAATACACAATTTTTATACATGCAGAACAGACATGTATGAAAATACAAAAACACCAAAATTCGCACATGCACCATCCATTTTGTTTTTGAGTTTGGCCGAGGTGGTGTACATTTTAATACAGCTTTGCCATTTTCTGTTTTAAACAACATTTATTTATGCTAATTTAACATTAAGGTTCTTTGTCTTTGGCATTTCAATAAAATTAAATACACAAGTTATTTACGCATTAAATTTACTTAAACTATTAAAATACTGAATAAACCACATAATGAACGAAAAATTTCACATGAAATTGTTCTCCGACGCTGTGGGCTAGGCCATTTGTAGCGCGCATATATTGCCCACATAATTGTATCTTTTTCAGATGCATATATATTGGTAATGATCACAAGCCGCCACTAACTCACAAATGCCGAATTCATAATAGCGAAGAAAACTGAAGGCAAAAATTTCATTTTCAAACTTTGGCATAACTTATTTGCCAACAACATTTTTTTTCTCCTCCGGCAGCATACAACTTTTCAACAATTTTACGCTGAAAAAAAATAAATGGGAAAATAAAGTCAGAAATTGCCATATTTAACCTAAACGTCAACCACAAATGTTATCGCAAGTTGCTGCTTGAACAAAGTTAGACTATTGATCTCGTTGCTGCTGTAAATTTCGCGTTACACCAGAAAAAAAAACTCGTAATTAAAAATCGATTGAACAAAAAGCATACACATATTTCATCACCATTCGATGGCGTCGAATAGCCGATAAACGCGATTTTGAACAGACAAAATAGTGTAGAAACTTCGGTAGCACACCAACCTACTCCACCCAATATCAATGCTCCCTAACTACTATCAGGTAGAAATAAAAGGCTTTCACTCCACTCTATACAATGCGCAATGTTTCTGTCAAAAAAAAAAAAATTGTTCGTCGTTAGTGCAACGATCAACTGCAAATTATTTTCGAATTTATTTCGATACCGAGTACTTCATATCACAATTTTGTTTCATTGTCATTGGCTCTCACACTCTCCCTCTCACTATTTCTCTCTATCGATTAATGATCTGTCAGCCATCCTGAGTAACATTTCATTTGAACAGCAACCACAGAAATCAGCAGAAAAAAAATACATTGCAATGATGACGATGAAAAAGCGAAGATTGAAAAAAAATGAGGACAGCAAAAGTTTTTGAGTAAAAAAAAGTGCGGAAATTACAGTTTTTATCAATTTTACATCAAAAATTTTCCACAGATTTCACCTCATATATGAAGTGGAGCCAATGATGACACTGACTCGTTCTTATATTCTATTTTCTCGTTCTTTCGTTCCTTTTTCTATCTATTGGGCAAACGGTTGCACTATTGCTGGTTTATCAGCAGCAAACGACAAACACCATATCGATTATTATCAAAATTGAATAGATTTCAAAAGCGCACACCAAATCGAGATTGTAACGCTTCCATCGGTTATTATACACGTACTATACGTGTTTTACAAGTGACCGAGTACAATTTGAAATGTCGAAGCCAGTGATATTTGCTCAACGGTGCTTTTCAATAGATATAATTAAAAAAAGAGTCGTTTGGAGCATAGTTGCTGTGTAACATCTGCAATATATAACGTCCGGGTCTGTGTTTGTATGCCCAGGCACAAGGCAAAAAGTGTCGAAAGTCACCAACTTGCAAATTGTTCATAGCCCATCTCTATAAATTCTATACGTTCGATATGCACATAAAGTGTCATGACAACCATACCGTGGTTGCATGCAAAAGTTTTGCCTCATTTGATGAAAAACCGAAGCTATATTTCACTGCGATGTGACCAAGTTTGTTTGAAAATGCACTGATGGAACTTTTGTCAATGCGACTCTTTTTCGTATCCGACAAATTGTTGTTGTAGTATTTTAATTTCGTTCGTCAATCGATTTTATGGCTTGATTATCATTCCAAACTATTTATTTTCTTATCCACCAACACCCCTCTGTATTTCTCGCCTGCGTGCAAAAACTCGAGTCGAGCAGATCTGCACATCACGAATAAAAAAAAAACGATAGTGCTTGTCAGGCTTATGTGTGTATGTGTATGTGCGTGTTTCTTGTCTGCAAGTGAAGGAATTCCATTTAAAGTAAGTTTCAAGAATTTCGATTACACTACGAGTTTCATATATCTCAAAATTGATGTTTTATTTTCTCGATGCCGGATGCAAACTCTTAAGCTGAATGACGCACACGCTTCAAACGAGAACAAGGCAATATTCGAACGCAAAATGAGTTCATCAAAAAGGAATTTGTGTCAGAATTTTATGGATGAAACGAGAGTGACTTTAACATTACTTTCTGATTGAAGGGGATGAAAATTAGTTTTTTATCCCACCTGAAAAACTAAATTCTCCTTATACTGGAATAGTATCGAAAATAAATGACCTAAAATAGGGAATGAATGAGAATGAGACATCGAATGTTGGTATATTGGTATAACATGTAAGCGTGGACTTTATTTTAAATTAAATGATTACTACAGGTATAATATGTCTTTACAGTACAAGAGAAAAGAAAAAAATAATTGAGAACACGTGATGATGCTTTTATGCATATGCCTAACAATTGTTTTGAGAGGGTAATTGTTGTTGATATTCATTCATATAATAAACGTAGCTAAAAAATGTTATGACTAATAAAAGAAATCTAAGAGGTTTTCGGTTTCAACTGGACAGAATGTTTTCAACAATAATATATTCTTATATTGTTCACACAATTTAAAATATTAAATCTTAAGTCGCTTATTCACGATAATATAGTATTTATTTGGATTTCCTGGTTTTTTCTTTCGTTCTGAATACTGTTTTGACACTTTTATGGCTGTGATATGCTAAATACCCTTGAATTATATATATATGCAGCGTTTTCTATCCTGCGTTTGAAAACAAAAAAAAAAGCCAACTACACAAAGCAAATACCTCTAAACTCTAAATGTATAACAGCTAAGACAATATTTTTTTTGTTTTTCATTGTTGATTCATTGTGAACCACTTCGATGTGAAAAATCAATTTTTCTCATCCATCGTTGCAAGTACGATTTTAAAACTGGCTCTAATTGATTTCAAAATGTTTGTGCATGCGTATTGCATGGTATTTGTGTGTTAAAAATTTATTTTGTTTGTGTGCTTTATGAATTAATCGACAGATATTTATTCAATATACAATTTGGCCAAACTCTTTTGGTTTTCTTGAATACTTAAGTCCAAGTTTTCCGGCGACATCATCAATTATTTCCAATGCATGATCGAGTTGCTCTTTTGTGTGTGCAGCCGATAGACAGAATCGGATTCGACCGGCCATGATTGGTGTTGCCGGGAATCCAACACCGACTGCAGCAATTTTTCGATCCAAAAGTTCACGTACTACAGCACTGCAACACAAAAATAAAAAGATCGCAAACAATTAAACGATAAAGGTCATTGCAATTTTTTCTATTATTAAACTATAATGTGACATTCACACACACACATGCACAAAAACACTTACGCTATTTTTGAAAATAAATAAACCATCATTGGCACAACGGGTGAATTATCGTGACCAATGGTAATAACGCCCATTTGTGCTAATCGCCTACGGAAATAGACTGTGTTCCTTGCCAATTGCTGGATACGTCGTTTACCCTCATCCGTACCATCCAGACCCATGATTATTCGCATCGATGAAATGATTTGTTGAGCAACTGGCGGCGACATGCTGCTCGCATAACAATGAGCATGACTATGCACTCGCAAATGGTTTATGAGTTTCTAAAAAAAAACAGAAAATCCGACAAAAGAAGAAATGGAATGAAATAACAAAAAGCAAAACTAATCCGAAAAAAATCGAATCAAAATTCAATACCATGACAAAACCAAAGCAATTTCACTTTTGTGTATCTATAAAATAAATTACCTTTGACCCAGCTATATATCCGCCGGCCGAACCAAAACTCTTTGTGAATGTTCCCATTAGAATATCAACGTCATGCGGATCAACTTTGTAGAAATCGACAATGCCAACACCATTCACACCCATTGCTCCAATGCTGTGCGCTTCGTCCAAGAATATGTACGCTTTGTATTTCTTTTTCAATGCAATCACTTCGGGCAATTTGACAATTGAACCCTCCATACTGAACACACCTTCGACCACAATCAGTATTTTCTTCCATGGCAATCTAGTTTTTGGTTGGCCACTAACAATCGCATTTCGTAGTACACGCTCCAAGTCATGCATATCATTGTGTCGAAACACTTTGATCGCAGCACCCGATAATCTTAAGCCTAAAATAATGGAAGCATGGTTTTTTTCATCGCTTACAACCAAACAACCGGGCGACAACAATGCTGGGATGTTCAGTGAATTTGTTCCAAAACCCATGCCAAATGTGATTGCATCATCGACACCAAGGTAACGTGCCGTCAATTCTTCCAATTCGGTGTGCAATGGCATCGAGCCAAGTTCACTGCGTGTACTACATGTAGCCAAACCATATTTACGAATCGTATCAATTGAATTGTCAGCACACGGACCTGAATTCGATGCAAAACCCAAATAATTGTACGAACCCAAATTCAAGCATTCGGTTTCCGTGCCGGTAAATCTAAAGTGACACAGGAAAAACGTAAGTTATGTTTTTATTTTTCCACCATATTTTGCATATTCAAATAGTTTCACTTACTCGAATGTCCAACATTTATCCTTGGTAATGCGGTCTTTCAATGTTACAACGTCACCGGGCACACTGCAAATCGGCCGATTGAAACAATCACGAAGTCGACGATAAACATATCGCAAGTAAAACTGCTCGAAGCTGTCATACAATGGAGCATAACCCTGATATAAAGAAGAAAAAACCGAACAAATAAAATAAAAACACATAAATACCGACGGCAATTTAGATAAAGAAGGTGAGATAGAGAAAATAACTGTGAAAATTTGTGAATAAAAACAAATTCGACGTACATACAAAGAAGCCGTCGGTATAACGTATTGAGTCATACCCGTACAGCATTGATATGACTCACCTCTCGATTACGTTCAGTTGCTACTTTTGGTGCAAATAGAAGTTGATTTAAAAATCCCAAAACAATCAGAAAATAAAAACCCAAATATGTTAAACATGCTGCCAACATCGGAATTGGTTCAAATGATTCCTTCGGTTTGTCATGTTTATGGGCCGATGATAATGTTGAATCTGGCTTCTGATTATCTTTAACGCCATTCGTGACAATTTTCCCATTTGCCTGCTTGGATGTGAAACAGTGAAAATTAATAACAAAAAAAATTGATGTCCTGTTTTTTATGTCTTCAAAATGCCATTAAAACGCATTGAAAAATCGCATTTTAACTGTGTTAATAAAGGGAAATCAACATTATTTCAGCATAATAAAACACACAATGAAACAGAGGGAACACGAAAAAAAAATCGATAAAAAAATCACAAACACCGACAATCAACAGTATTTAATTTGATGAGTTTCCAACTTTTTATTCATCGCGCACATAAAAATTTAACACAAAAATTAATTGGCATTCAAAAACGAAATCAAAATGATTATGCTCGTTTTTCGTGTATTCGATTATGTTGAATTGTCATGTCACTTGTTTTTTTTACACTCATCGTGTGTAAAAATTAGCATAGATGAAATAACACCATTACAAATACATACCACGTCAGAATTCGATTGATGTGTACTTTTGCGGCCGCTGCTGTTATTGTCAGTTCTCAGTGTGCCTTTATTTAATTGCGATGATTGCTTCGCTAAACCATTTTGATGATAGAGTGGACGATGTAATTGTGATTTTAAATCACTTTCGTATGAAAAAATGTGATTCAAATTGTCAGCAGGTTCACAAAATCGGATTTCTTCTTGGCTCGGCATTTTTTCTCTCGACGATAATACACACCAACAAAATTTCTGACTGGCTGTTACACACACCGCACTGCTTGGACTGCGGGCAAAAATGTAAAAAGGAACTGTTCACGGTATCTCTCAACCGAAGTTTGACACAACTGCTGTCTAAACTCGTTTTTTTTTCACATGAATATGTCATACGATTCAGTGCTGCCAACTGCGCAGCATTGAATTATGCGCAGCAAATTGAGTACGAACTACTGTGCCAAGCCAATGGCAATAAAAGAGAGAATCGGCAAGCGAGAAATATGTATATGTGTGTACGTACATGCGTATGTGCGAAATTGCGGAGAACAAGAGAACATTGCGGCATTCGCACACAATTGCGGATGGGCGAATGTGTGACAAAGACCTTTAATACCACAAAAACACACATTTTTTTCTCTCTTTTATGGTATTCGATAACAATTCGTTTGAGAGGAATTTCATAAAATAATTATTTGATACCGTTGCAAAAATGAGAAAATCCGGTTTTTTAGCCCAGCTTACATTTTATCTATGCTCTATTCAATTATGTCGTTTTACTGATCGCTTATAGAAGATTTAATGGAAAAACTATTTAAAAAGATTCACTAACAGCGTTAGTCTAACACAACATACCAAACATATGAGAAATTGGCAGTTAGAACGAAAAAGAGAGGGATATTACATTTCATTTTATACATTAAATATGTTTTGAATATGAAAATGTTAACAACATTTTTCATTAAATTTGTTGAATGGCGTTTCGGAAGGGAAAAAAAATCTGGGAGCATAAAATATTTTCACTCAGTCTGATTAGACTTGTGTGCAGTCAACGACAGCATCGTGGTCGTCGTCGTCGACAACTACGGAATGTATTTACATGGTGAATGGAATCAAAGATTTAGCTTCTACTATTTACATGTATCACTGGCACGAATAATTCTCATTTTGATTATCCATTCATATGGGTCTCTCTTTCTCTTTCTCTTTCATCATTATCTATGCTTGGCATGTACATGAAAACGTAGCAAAAATATTATGATGTTATGATAATCACAGAAAATGTATGCTATTACTCTAACCTATCATCCTCGTTCTTCTTGCTTTTTTTTCGGTTGTTAATGGGAGTCAAGCAAATAAAAATACTATTCAGGAAAATCCTGATGGGGAAGTGAATAATTTCATTTTACCGCTCATTCCATTTATGTAAAGAAAAAAAAATAAAACGAATGGGACGAAGGAAAGAAAAAGAAATCAAGTTACACGAGAGAAAAAAAAACGTGCCCAAATAGATAAACGAGAAAAATGAAAAAGAGAGCAAAAAAAGATGAAAACGTTGGCGACGGTAAACTAAAGACCAATAAAGAAAATGCGCTCACATTCATTCGGTATTCAGTGGATGTCTGTTTGATTTTTTTCCCTTTTGTGAGAAAGGACCTTGTTTGCTTGTGTGCATGAGAGATCACGAAAGATTGGATATAAAGAGTAAAAGAGTGGAAACAGTGGCCGCATTCAACCGGCATGTATAACATACCCGAAATGTAGTACATTTCACTCATATATGGTTTTAATAAATTTGCTTTCAACAGTCACTAACAGCCGTGGATGCTGCAGTACAGCATCATTTGATAACTACTATGGTTTCAGTTTGAGTGTGTGCCCATTTTCGTGAAACGAAACCAAATGGAATATAACATCGACGATAAATTAGTTACCGTCGTATTGTATGGCAGTTCAAAAATCGAAGAAGAAAGAACGACCATTGCTTCGCTTTGTGTTTTTTTTTTTCGATGTGCGCGCTGAAAAAATTTCGTTGATGTCGTCGCAAACAGTAATTTAATAGCGTCAGTAGATTTATTTTTCTATACAATATGTGTTACATAAACGCCAATGTGCATTTGCTGTAGTTGAGCACCCGACGACGATGACTGCGAAAGAAAATTCATTTTTCATTCGAGCTTTTTTATATGTATGTTATTGAACAGGATTCTTCTGCATCATGACTGTTCAGATGGCTTTTTCTTTTCTTCATTGGTGCTCTTCTTTATTTTTTTTTATATTTCAGGTTTTTCAATAGAACGATAGAAAAACAAGCTCACACGATGCCGATGATAATAATTGGATTTCTTTTTCTCTTCATTCACTTCGCTCTGTATAGCTTCTGATAAACCAAAACTCAAGTTTACTTGAAAATTATTTGGATAAAATGTCTGCCACTTTTCATTCAGGCGGGTAGGCCTTTTCGATATTTGCACTCATATTACATTCAATTAAGGTGGTAAGTGGATGAAAAAAAAAACGAAATATAATTTGTGTAAAGTCATCAGACATGTTCAGAGTGTATGGGGTGTGTTTTCACTTGATGGCCCATGCCAAGTTACGGTGTATGTTTACGTTGTTGTTATTACACGTATTTTTCAATTTTCGCCAAAAGTTAATTCAAACTTTTTTTTTCTTCATCCAAATGATCGTTCGTAGTGCGGCGAGTGACAAGTGACGTGTTTATGTGAAACCGATTTTGACAGTTTGATAAACGATGATTTAGCAATTTTATAATGATATTAAAAAAAAAAACATCGAGTTAAGTTTTTGAGTTGCAATTTTCACTGTTTGCAAGTAGATTATCTGTTGAACTTTTTTTTCTCTGATATTGCTCCCATTGCATGATTCATCACCATTCAGTACAAGCTCATTTTTTTCCCTTCTGTCTCTATCTTTTACAGGCAAACACGACAAATTGCTGACATCATTCAGTCAAGGTGAAGGAGTGAAAGTTGAAGTGTAATCGATTATAACTTTAACCAATTTTAAAGTGAAATTAAAAAGAATTATTGAAGATCGATCATTTTTTTCCCTTTTTCAATTTGATGTTTTTGCATGATGTTTACCAAATTTCAGACGAATTTTATCAATAATCACATTGATCGGTGTTTATTCCGGATTAATAAGCACTGTGCAGCAAAAAGAGGTGAGAAGAATGGCGTTTTCATCATCAGAAGTTCTGATTCAGAACTACACGCTTTTTGTGTACGACGAATGCCGAATGAACGGACGGATGTGCAATAAATTTTTAACGCTTCAATATAAACAATGCTAAAGTATAGCTGTTTGTTTTCGGGTCAAATCGAAATATTGAAATCGTTGGTCCCCTACAACCAGCTGTTCTTTTTGCAGTCAACAACCAACAGTAGTTATTGAATTTTCGCGTTATTCTCTGCAAGTAGCACTTGTCCGTTCCGAAACAACAAAATAAACGAACCAAGAAATAATTTATCGAAACATATGCTAGTATGGGGCATTGCATGGATTGTGCCATCGAGTATATAAGCGCCGTTTGCTGAAATGGTCTAAATAGGTAAGATGGCAACCGAATCAGACCAAACCAAACAAAAGATGATTGGGAAAAAAAGCACGCAATGTTCATTCCAAAAATGTTGGCCGTGCGGGTAACATGTTTGCCATTTGATATTCAAGCATAGAATAAAATAAAGAAAATCGAAGCAACTACACATATAGTACAACTAGAAACAGCAGCCACAGGAATAAAAGAAGTACACAAAATCAAGATACAACAACAACATATTCCTTACAAAAACGGAACTAATTTCCAAGTCTACGAAACCAATCTTCAAGGTAATCGTCTATTATACGGTCATAAATGAACAGAAAAGTCGAAAAGGTGAGTTATTTCCTTTCTTGATTTATTTATTTTTATGTATATATTCAATTCCATTGAAATGTACATATTTCAACTCGATGCTACCGCCACTTGTGTTTTGGCCACATAAAAATGGATATTTGAAGTCACGGACATCGTTTTCGTTATTGCATAACGTTCATATTAAGTATGTTGTTTTGTGTGCAGTCTCTTGACTATTACATTTGCGAATGGGGTATATTGGACGAGTGCAAACAATATTGTGTGCATGTATGTGTGTGTGTCTCTATGAGTATTCTCAAGCATGAAGCAGCGCGATCAAACAGAGTCAGAGTTGAAAAAGTAAAAACAAAAAAAATAGTGTTGGCAAGGAATAGCGTGACCATTACAAGTATTTAGCTGAACACGATTATTCGCTTGTTCTGCCATAAAATGAACACATAAAACGATTTGCGTCATCGTTCATTTGTGTCGGATTCGGCAGAGACTCCTTCTCCCCATTTCACCATATATTTTTTTCTTCTTCTTTCTTCACTATAACTGATCGTTGAATTTCTTGGCAACAGTTTTAAAATTGAAATGACTTTTTGTCTTTTTGCGACACTTTACTTTCGTCTTTTTTTGAGTTTTTTCTTCTTTGTGCTCTACGGAAGTTCATGCCGAAGATAAGCGATAAGCAACAATCTGTTTCTTTTTTTCCCGTTGCGATGGTAATTCAGTGGAAAGGCTCATTTTACATCTATCCATTCTTTTTCGGTTTTATGTGTGCATGTGTTTGTATTCTGGTGTCGATGTTTATGTGAAACGAGCGGCCCCTTGGGCTTAAGCAGCGGAAAGAATATTCCATATTCCGAATTTCATCTGCATCTTAACAATTTTTGTTGGTATTTTTTTTTTTTCGTATTCGGTTTTTGTTTCATATTACTTCCATTCGCCATGTGTCTTTCAAAAGTCATGAATATTTTAAATTTTCTACTTTCAATATATATGCGACAGCGACAATAGCTGTTATGCAGCAACCATAAAAATGTGCCAATATTTGTTTTGCCATGAAAAGTCAGATCACTCAACAGCAATAACAGAAACGATGGTGTGAGCACGAGAGCAAGGACCAACGCACGATTTTGGTTAAAATGCGAACGATGCAGCGCTTTAGCTGCTTTTCAAATTTAGATGGGCAAAAGCACACACAAAAAAAAGACGCAACATTTATGTATTATCATCAATACAGTTTTACGATCCGAAAAATGATGAAATAACAACTGGTGTACACACCAAAAGTAGAATGAAACATAAGATAGATGCATGAACCATCGCCTAACTCTCAGGTTTCTTCGAAAAACGTGTAATAAGAATCGATTACCTTTTGCTTCCAATGATTAATAGCCCCTGTTTAACAGGAAAGAAAAAAACGAACACCACCAACACCAACATCCTTGCTATGCGGGCCATAGGGCTGCGGGTGAAAAATGGCAACACTA